GGCTGCTCTGCACTGCCTGTGCCTGCGGTGTTTTGGTTGCACCCCGGCAATGACTCTGCTCCTGCTCCCTCCCTGCCAGCCCCAGCCTGACAAATACCTTTGCATAAGAGCAGGCAGGGAATGTTCATTAGTCAGCTCCTAATTGCAGCTCGAGGTTTGGGCCGCGTGCTGCCCAGCAGGACCAGAGGATGTGGGCAGACAGAGTGACACAGGATGCGTGATCGCTTAGAAATCAAAAATCATGAACTGTTGGGTGTATGGGCCGAAGTGAAATTAAAAACACATTCAGGCCACACTCATCTTACCACAGCTCCCCAATACCACCAGTTTCATCTGCGTTGCATTTATTTCCACCACTGCCATACTGAAGCTTTTTCTTTTTCTAGAATGAGAGCACCTGGGGGGAGGTTTGCCACGTATAGCAGCCGCAAAATGAATGTATACATACTGTACCACCAGCCCTGAGAGCCCAAGGGGAGTGGCCAAACAATGGCTAATTATAGCTTCAGCACAAAAAACAAACAAGGCAGCGAGTCACAGTAAGTACAGCAGCATTCTAGCTTCCATTGCAGAGATGGAATGTAAAACCACCAAAACAAAATGGGGAAAAAAATGATTGGTGGCTCAGAAAAAAAAAGTACCATTTTACAGGAGCCCAAAGGACTCCAAAAATCAAATTCAAATTTCATTTAACCCAAAACACACACAACGTGTCACATTCCCATTGCTCCCTTAGGCAAACCAATGTATAGAAGGTTCTGCAAACACTCCGGGCAGCACAGACCCCACAAGAGACAGGATCCACCCAACAGTGAGCTCACCATGGATCTCTGTGGGTCACCAGCTCCAGGAATTTGCAAGGAAACATCCTCTGCTGCCACCCACAATAATTAGGGCAAAAGAAGTGCCCAGCTCCCTGCATGCGGGGCTCATCCGGACACATTCCATTCCTCCACACCTCAGATCCCAGAGAATAAAATGGGCATTTCCTGGCAATATCAGCGAGCACATGGGTGCCACCGAGAGGTACCCCCAGCACTGAGCCTTGGCAGGAGCAGTGTGGAAGCAGAGCCCAGCATGGCAATTGTTCTGGGAGCAGGCATCCATGGACAAAGGCGGCAGCAGGGAGCCCTGGCACGGCTCCCCAGCAGGGTTATGCAAGCCTGGCACACACAAAGCCCCCAGTATCAGCACAATCTGAATGCTGCCACTCTGCAGGAAGGGCCCTGCTCCTGGGCAGGTCCAACCACGGGGCAGAATCCTCAAAAATTATCTTATCAACACCTGCACACAGAGCCTTTGACCCCTGCAATATCCATCACATGTCCTTCCTGATATGGCAGGGGTAAATCCTGATGAGCAAGAGGGGGCAAAGGAGACAGAACACAATGATCCTGAGGGTGTTCTACAGGCAGATTCCTAGGAAATACACATTTTCCTAACACAGAAAGCTGTATCACAACCACCACAGCAAATAGGCCAGGACACCTTCAGCTGGTAGAGGAGAAGATGGAGACAACTTTTTATCGGCAAAGTCGCGTATTTGGAAAAAAGAGACGAGCAGAACCCCAAAATCCTAACTCAGAAGTGGGGTGCTACACTCTGAGCCACAGCCAGGCTGTGATTGCTGCCACACCACACACAATAAACGCTGGGATTTGGGTTATCTGCACAGCACCCAGCACTGCTGCAGAAACCCCAGGCAGGAAGCGAATGACGCAGCACCCCAGCAAACCCTCCCCTGCTTGGAGTAGGAAGAGTGTGGGAAACTCTGAGCAGGCTGGACATAAGCTGAACACAGAAAAACAAAGATTTTACCCTGTCTAGATAAGAAAGAAAGAGGCTAGACATGAGTAGAACACGGAAAAAGAAAGATTTTACCCGTGTAGGTAATAAAATTCCCAGTGCTTCACCCTGCCTTTTGCTAAGGTCACAGGAAGGATGCCAGGGTGAAACCACAGTTCAGGGAAAATGTTGTGTGTCAGTGTTTCTCCTCCTTCCCCGAGCACAAACACAACTTGCTAAGCTTTCCAGCAGCCGGGAATCCCGTGCAACAGCTACTGCCCAATCCAGCGAATACAAGAGCCGACCCGAGCAGGTCTTTCAGGTGCAATAAGCAGCAATTTCCTCCGCAAAGCGTTGGCACAACAGGGCCCCAGCAGCCCCAGGCCAGTCTGGACAAGCAGCCCAGGATTTACCCAGTGCCAAATTTTGGCAGCTGAAAGCAACCCAAACACAAGCTGTGCCGGGCTCTGGGTGCTGTCCCACGGCACTTGGGAATGCCGTAACCAAGCGGGACAAAGGAATGGGACAAAGATAATGCTGCTTCATTTATCACTCAGCAGCTGTGATTTCAATTCCCCCTGCTGACAAGGGGGGGGAAAAGGCCCAACCAAACAACCAAGAAATCTAGTGCCCCTTCCAGGTTTGAGGAATTGCGAGATTCACGCCAATGTGGGCTATAGTCCAAGCAATCCCGAAGTTTGCTTCCAGCTAAAAAAATAACAGCCAATTAGCAACCAGCGTCTCTAAAAAAAACAACAATCAATCAGCAGACACGATTTCTCTCGGCCAGATCGGCACCTTCAGCAAAATCACGAGGAAAACATCCCTGTGCCCCACCCAAGGGAAATTAACCAAGACAGACGAAAACACCGCTCCTAACCCTCTCTGCCCCGAAACCAGGTAATTGTGGAAAAGCAGTATGTGGATATAAGGACATATTTAGGCTCAGGGGAAGGGTATGGGCCTCAGATGGCGGACAAAGTGAGGACCTGACCACAAACCCCGGGCCAGGCATCCCCTGAAGCG